CCTGCCACCTCTCCTTCCCCAAGAGATAATCAGCTTCATTTGTTTGTTTGATTTTTCTTTTGTCCTTCAAAATTTCTTTAACAAAAATTTCTTTATACTACCACCCAGTTTTGGACTTCCCAGCCTCCGGAATTGTAAGCCAATCAATTTCTCTTTATCATTAGCTCCCAGGTTCAGGGTTCTGTGACAAAACAAAGACCAATTGGTACCAGAGAGGAGGGGGTGTTCCTCTCAGAGTGTGGGAGTAGCTTTGGAACTGGGTAATGAATAAAGACCGTAACAGTTTTCAAACGAATGCTGGAAAACTTCTGTATTACTGTGAGTGGATCAGTAAGGGTGAAGAGGGCTAGAAAGAATAGGAGAGCTGTGGGAAGTCTCATTTTTCTCAGAAATTACTTAAATAGTCATATCCAGAATATTAATAGAATACAGACATTAAAGACTTTAAAAGTCCTTTTAGAAGGAAAGAGACTGGGCCAGGGATTTAGCTGAGTGGTGCTACACCTGCCTCACAAGCTCAAGGTCCTGAGTTCAGTCCCCAGGACTGGGAAAAAAAAATCAAAAACTAAAAGGAAGCAGGCCACAAAGATTTGGATAATCCCTAGCATGACCATGTTGAAAAAAAAATGTTTGGGAGAAAAAAAACAAGGATGTGGCCAAAAGACCTATCACAGGTAGGAGGAAGCCAGGTGCTGTTCATGGAGACCTTGGAGAATGACCTCTCAGACCTTCCACATCACCAGCCTCTCCCAGCACAGATTCCATGTGCCGGGCCCTCTAGGGCGCAGCAGTTTCCTGGCTCACTGCCCGGGCATTCCAGCGCAGAGCTTTTCAGCTGCCCCAGCTGTGACTCCCGTGGCCCTGGGTACAGCTCAGGCCACCGCTCTGGAGGGTGCTAGGGGTGGACGTCAGAGGCATCTGCATGGTGCGAACTCTGCAGCCTCTGAGAAATCGAGCACTGTGGAGGCGCAGCGGCTTCCCTGTAGAGGCTTGAGGAGCTCGCAGACAGGTTTGGGGTTCGGACGGAGTCTGTACCACTGCAGAAACTCTGAGCAGGGTCTTGGTGGAGGGTGGGAGCCTGGTCATGCTTCAGACCCCGTGACTGTCCAGCACCAGGGTATGGTGCCATAGTAGGAAAGCCATAGACTCCTGATTCCAACCATGAGAGTGGCATGGACTATACCTGACAAGACCAAGACCGTGGGGCACACCAGTCAGGAGTCACGAGGGCCCAAGTCTGGCCCTGCTGTGTCTGGGGGGACGGTAGGGCATGGAGTCAAAGTAGATTGTTCTTAGGCCTTCTGCTCTTTTGTTGTTTGCCTGTTGGGCTTGGGACCTATTTGGGACTTGTTTTTTGTTTGTTTGTTTGAGGCAGGATCTCACTATGTAGTTCAGGCTGGCCTTGAACTCTTGACAGTCCTCCTGCCTCAGCCTCCTGAGTGTTAGGATTAGAGTTGTTCACCACCATGCTGAGCTATTTTGGCCTTTCTTGTTTCTTATTTTTCTTTGGGAATGAGAATGTCTGCCTTATGACTGTCCACCCTTGTACTTCGGAAACATGTAACACTTAATTTCACAGGCTTACAATGAAAAAGTTGACCCCGAAGTACATTAAGACTTTAGGGCCTACTGGGATGGAATGAATGTATTTTATACGTAAGAAGGACAGCAGTTTGCAGGCACTGGGAGTGAAATGCTGCAGTTTTTTCCCCCCACCAAAAGTCACATTGAAATTTAATTGCCATTGTGATGTGGGGAGTTGGACCTCTGAACAATTTAGCTCCTCTTTCATGGGTAAGTTTAGTGCTTTAAAAAAGGATATTTGGACATGGTTCCCTGCCCACTCCTTTTATCTTGCACCATATAATCACCTAGTAAGCCCCTCTCCAGATGTTGGAACCTTGAGCTTGAACTTCCTGGTCTCCAGGAGGAGGAAATATATTTGGCTTCATTATAAATTGCTTAATCTCAAGCAGTCTGTTATAGAAGCACAAAATAGCCAGAAGGGCTAGTTTCTTCTCGTTGCTTTTATTTTGTAGGGCTTTTTAAGATATTCTTCATTCTATATCCTTCCAAGTGAGTGTTGTGACACAACTTTCTTAGCTCCTAGCTCCCTCTTCTGTTGCTTTTACCAAGTGTTAAAATATTTGACCTTATACTTTCTGAGTTCTTCCTCCTCTGCTCCTTTTCCCTACTTCTGTGTAAATACTCATTTTTCCCATCATATCCTACTTCTAGACTGCTTGAAATATATTCCTGAAATTAATCCTCAGAGAAAGCACTTCTTATATTCCATGTGGCATTTTTTGAAGTTGTTAATTTAGTTGCTGAATAGCTATGGGATTTGGGGCAAAACTATCCTCCTATTTTTCATCCATAAGTTCTAAGTGAAAAATAATCTCTTTTATTGATGTTTTCTTGACAGTTATAAGTAATTTCCAGTCCATTCTCGGTCCTACAAGCCATCAGAATTTGAAGTATTTAATCGCTCCCTTTTTGAAACACATTCTTCCACTGACCTCCATAATATCACTCACTCAGTTTTCTTACCAACATACTGGCCTCTCTCGGGTGGGCTCCTTCAGTATTTCTTCCTTGTCCCTCACCCTTAAATGTTGGAGGGCCCCGGAAGTCAGATATCAGACCTTTCCTCCTCACTTGCTCGGTGAGTTTCACAAATTCAGACTATCTCATGAATTTAAATGTGCCGATAACTCACAAGTTTATCGCTCCTTCTGAACCGCTCCCTGTGCTCAAAATTTGTACAACTACCTGCTTCCTTACCACCTCCCACTGGATGTCCAACAGGGACCTAAACTCAGCTTATCCAAAAATAGCTCTAACATTCTCCTCCAAATCTGTTTCTCTACAGTCTTACCTTTGTCAGTTACTGACAATTCTGTTCTTTCAGTAGTTTAAGGAAAAACTCTTTCTCCATCCTAACCCGTCGGGGATGCTTGTTGAGTCTACATTCGAAACATACTCATGAAAAGGGTATTGGTCTAGGCAAGTATTGGAGCCTGAGTAGAATGAGTTACGTGTCTGAACCAACACACATATATGTGTGTGTACACACATTTCCTAGGGCTGCCATGACAAAGTACCACAAACAGTGAGGCTTAAAACCATACAAAGTTATTCTCTCACCGATCTGGAGGCTACCAGGCAGAATCAAGGCGCTGGCAGGGTCGCGGTCTCTCCGAGGCTCCAGGACGGGATGGGTTTCCTGTCTCTGACCATGATCTTCCGCGTCCCTTGGCCTGTGGCTGTTTAACTTCATTCTCATTATCCCATGGTGTTCACCCCTGTGTCTTCACATCGTATTGGGTTAAGGGCTGACTCAACTCTAGGATGACCCTATTTTAACTAATTATGTCCGTGACAACCCTCCTTCTCAGTAAGGCCATGTTCTGAGGTACGAGGTGATCCCAGTACCACAGCTCCACCATCTTCACAGGAGGTACACTTGCACCCATGACACAAGACTGAGCTCTAAGTTACCCCAGGGTCCAGTGTGACAGGGTTTCAGTGTGATGGTACAGTGATTCTTAGCAGTTCCTGTCAACAGACATTTATTGAGTACCCGCTGCATGCAAAGCATTCTTGTGGGCTTTATTTGATTCGAAGGAATCACTTGGTCATATATAGTTTGGGCGGCCCTTGCTAGATTAAAAATTAAATTAGGATCTGTATTAATTTTGAGCTCTGCTGTCAGCACTAGAGCAAGTTAAGCAGTGAGCAGACCCACTCGTGTACCTGTCACGCTGAGTAGGCTGTCAGGAGACTTCTCCTTTGGCAGGCACTCCCTCACCTGAACCAAGACCTGTCACCCACCTGAGCCTGTTAGTGTGACCACAGCGCTCAGCTCCGCCTGTCTCCCACTCCCCTACACTCCCCTAAGGACCCAAGGATTCATTCCTCAGCTAGTCTTCGTTTGAATGTTTTTTTTCCTAAGCCACCCCCCCCACCTCCAAGTCTCTTTTGAAGCTGAAACTACAGCTGTTCCCAGCTTTGGAGATCAGAAGTCCTTGTGCACACCTTTGGGTGTTCTAGGACGGCATAACTTGTGCTTGTCCAGACTTTCTGCCAGTTCTGCATGTCGTTTATTCAGTCCTTTCCTTGGCTTGTTCTGATGCTCTTTTTCTAAGTACACAAATTGAATGTTTAATTCATTCATTTTTATTTTCTTGCTTAGTATGAATATGTATGAGCTATTAATTGTCTCTGTAAGCACAAGGGCTGTCTACCTACTGAAATCCCTGGGCCCCTTCACCCAGCCCAGTTTGGCTCTGAGCAAGCTGTCCCTTGCTGCCTTTCAAAAACAACTTCCACCCGCTTTGGAATTGAAAGCTGCTTTGAGCCACTCATTCGGCAGCCTCCAGGGAAGATGGTACTGCGTTTATTTTCACAGAGCCTTCTTTTTGCCTTAGCATGGTGTGTGTGGGTGTGTAGGGGGACGGTAACAAAGGGCAGTGGATAATCTTTACTGAACATTTCCCATGCAACTTGTACTAATTATAGCACTTCACACACGTTATTTTAACTACTCCCATACCTACTTTACAGATAAAGGGTTAGTCAATATTCCTCTCCTTGGAGCGCATCAAACATTTAGTTGTAGGGCCTTCCTCAACGCAGTGCTCACAGCGACCTTCCTACTTCAGCCTCCCAGGTGCTGGGATTGCAAGAGTACACCACCACGGCTGGAAGCAAATGCCCATTCTTCAAAACTTTACTGACCATCAGATCTAAGACCGCCTTTCCACCACACCGTTTGGAATGATCTCGCTGGCTTGTTTCCTCATCATGACCTGCTTCCACTACCAGACTTGAATCTCTAGGGAGCACAGCCTTTCCGTGTTTGCTTCAGCATTCTCAGTCTCCTAGGAGCCAGGGCACAAGGTTGGCACTCAACGGTTATGAAATGAATGTATTTCTGGAGCCCATAGTGCCTGAGAACCCGGACCTTAGGAGTCTGCAAAGTAAAAGTAGCTACTTGAGCTTCTGGAAGCGCGGTCCTGGGGGTAAGAGGCCCACTCCCTGGACGCGCCCTCGGGAAAAATGCAGGGCGGGAGGGGGCG